CCTGCATCGGCAGGCGGACTCTCAACCACTGCGCCACCAGGGAAGCCCCTGACTAGTTCTTAAATGAATAATTCCATTATTAAAATGCCACTACATAGAACAGGAAACTCTATATTTATTTTTATTAATCAGAACATACCTTTCTGCAGAAGTATAATATAGATGTTGTCAGTATTCCTTATTTAAATCACTGGATGCCTTAAAAACAGTAATATTGTCTCCCTGCTTTTTACTTTATTTCTGAATGACTAAGTTAAATGAAACTGTTAACAAAAATATGTTGCCTGGTTTTTAGTAAAGGCTATTATGATGTTATGACTAAAATAACATTTGATAATAAAAGCCAGTAAATGGTTGACATTTTTTACGTGAGTGACTTGAGAGTCTAAGTATGGCTATGATTACACACAACTTTACATTCCTATTATTTTGAACTCAGCCTCGTTTGCTGATACAAGGTATAGCTTTATCACAACTGTTCATTTGTCTGTGATAAATCAGTGACTGGCCTCAATAAATTTTATCTGAGCACATTATGTGCAGTCAAAACCTTAACACATAATTACATGACACTTAGAGAGGTTAAACAAAAGAAGCAAGGCCAGATAAAGTAAGAAGATAAAGTTATCTTACACCTAATCAATGTTTTATGACATGGTAAAAACAAAAGATCCACCTGTGGAGAAAGCTAATCAAACCTAAAAATGGTTTGCCTCTTTTTTTAAAAAAATTTATTTATTTGGGCTTCCCTGGTGGCGCAGTGGTTGAGAGTCCGCCTGCTGATGCAGGGGATGCGGGTTCGTGCTCCGGTCCGGGAAGATCCCACATGCCGCGGAGCGGCTGGGCCCGTGAGCCATGGCCGCTGAGCCTGCACGTCCGGAGCCTGTGCAAAAAAAATTTATTTATTTTGGGCTGCATTGGGTCTTCGTTGCTGTGTGCGGGCTTCTCACTGAGGTAGCTTCCCTTTGTTGCAGAGCACCGGCTCTAGGTGCACGGGCTTCAGTAATTGTGGCTCGTGGACTCAGTTGCTCCACGGCATGTGGGAATTTCCCGGACCAGGGCTTGAACCCATGTCCCCTGCATTGACAGGTGGATTCTTAACCACTGTGCCTCCAGGGAAGCCCAAGTTTGCCTCTTTTACGAATGTACTCAAAACTCCTCTTTTTAACCCATCAATCTTTGTTGATAACAAGTATGAGATTTCCACTGAACAAATCATGAAAGATGAACAAGGTCAGAAAGGCAA